AGATCAAAATTTAAAATCAATAAAATAATATAAATTAGGCCAAAACCCCTATTTGCACCCTCCATTTAATTCTTTTTCGTGGTCAACACCTTCTAGATTTTTTTTTTTTTTTTCATATTCACACTCTCAACTTTTCAAAACCTGTGAAAAACTCAATATTTTAATGCACCGTCACAACACCATTAAAAAATATATTACGTAGCCCCCAGAAATTGACGTGACACTATGTGGCGTTAGTAATCCAATGTGGATCCTTTTTTTTGATGATGTGACTTATTTTCTGCACACGTGGATGCCACGTGTATAATAAGACTAACAAAAAATTATAATACGTGATACCAAACAGTAACATAAACGTTATGTTACCTTATTAATATAATGTGGACTTTTTTTTTTTTATGATGTGGCATTTCATCATCTTTTTCTTTCCCCCTCATCCTTGGCATCGTCTTCACCATTCTCTTCTCAATGGGTTCTACGGAACCCAAATTCTGGGTTCTTGCGCAGAACCTAGATTCTGGGTTCTGACCATTTTTTTTTTCATTTTTTTAGTTTGAATGTATTTATCTTAATTTCCTATTTTATGCAAAGCAATTTGGAATAATTTTTTTGTTGGAAATGTGAGTTTTTTTTGCTTGGATATTGTTTCTAAACATGTTGCCAATTTGAGTTCAAGTGGGATTAACACTAATGGCAATAACGGTTTTTTCATTTTTTGTGGGAAAGGGGTGGAAGATGCATATCATATTTTTGTGCAGTATTCATTTACTTATAATTGTGTGGATGAAGATCTTAGCTTGGTAGGCATTCATGTGAAACTGGGTTCCACAAGGATGAGGATGAGGATGGTGAAGATGATGTCGGGAAAGAAGAAAATGGAGAAATTAAAATTAATTATGATTTAATTATGACACATTATAAAAAAAAAGTCCACATTGAATTAATAAATGTGACATAACATCTTGGGTTGTTGGTTCCATGAGGAACCCAAGAGAATAAAGAGGAAGATGGTAAAGATGATGCTGGGAAAGAAGAAAATGAAGAAATTAAAATTAATTATGATTTAATATGCCACATCATAAAAAAAAAAAGAAGAAGAAGTCTACATTGGATTAATAAGGTGACATAACATTTATGTTACTATTTGATGCCATGTATTTGATGCCATGTATTACAATTTTTAACAGTTATTAATGTTTTCGTGACGGCATATTAAAATATTAGATTTTTCACGACTTTTGAAAAGTTGAGGGTGTGAATAGAGAGAAAAAATTTTGGAAGATGTTGATCATGAAAAGGAATTAAATGGAGAATGGTGAAGATGATGTCAGGAAAAAAGAAAGTGGAGAAATTAAAATTAATTATGATTTAATTATAACATATTATAAAAAAAAAGTTTACATTGAATTAATAAATGTGACATAACATCTTGGGTTGCTGGTTCCATGAGGAACCCAGGAGGATAAAGAAGAAGATGGTAAAAATGATGTTGGGAAAGAAGAAAATGAAAAAATTAAAATTAATTATGATTTAATATGCCACATCATAAAAAAAAAAAAAAAGAAGTCTACATTGGATTAATAAGGTGACATAACATTTATGTTACTATTTGATGCCACGTATTACAATTTTTAACAGTTATTCATGTTTTTGTGACGGCATATTAAAATATTGGATTTTTCACGAATTTTGAAAAATTGAGGATGTGAATAGAGAGAAAAAATTTTGGAAGATGTTGATCATGAAAAAAAATTAAATAGAAGGTGCAAATACGGGGGTTGACTTATAAATTATGTTATTAAATAAATTAATATATATAATATTACATGTTTTTATAAAATAAAAAATTAATTATTAAATAATATAAAAGTTACTTTTTAATATTTTTAATAATTTATAATATATTATTAATTTTAAATTTTAATCCTAAAATTTTTCATCCCGTTCATCATTATCCAAAACTTTATCTTCAGAAAGTATTAAAAACTCTTATTTCAATTTTCATAACCACTCCACTTCAAGATTGTGAAATGAATTAAGGAAAAGGGTGTCAAGTGAATTAAGGATAAAAGAACATGTACGCAAGGTAAAAAAACACCACCTCAGGATTCAGATTAGAAAATAAAGCAAATTCCCAATCCAAAAGACTAAAACTTTCTTCCTACTTTCTAGCGAGAATTTATTGGAAAATATAACAAAAGGAAGGGCGAAAAACATTTGAAATCAAATTGCCTTATTTTTTATGGGTAAATCGATCCTTTGCACGGCCAAATTCCCGGCACTTGCGAGGAAGGTAGTCTCATCGCACGAATCCCAGAAGCCAAAACACGTAAAACCCACATCCCAGGGAAAGTCTCCTGCTTCCCAGAAAAAGGGGAAGCCAAGTGGGCTCCAAATCGAGTCGGGTAGAATCATGCAGAAGGAGATGAATGGGTGGAACGGTCGGGATCGTGTGCCGCTGGCTCAGGTGGTGTCGGAGTTGGTGAAGGCCTGGTTTGAAGACGCACTCGAAGCGGCCAAGGAGGGGGATATAGCCATGCAGGTGCTTGTTGGCCAGATGTATTGCAATGGCTATGGTGTCTCCAAAGATGTCCAAAAGGTCTCTCCTCTTACCCTTTTTATTGTTTTCTCTCCAATTGTTAATTAGTCATGTATGATGGATTGGTTTATGTTTTGTTCTATTGCTTAATCAAGGGTCAATTTGATTCTTTTGTGTAGTTTCTAGTGTTGGTGAATTCTATTCTGGTGTTTTTTGATGTCAAGTTTTCAATTTTTCATTTGTTTTCATGATACTATCATCATAGATATTTATATAAATTGATTTTGCATAGTCTGCGTCTTAATCTTTGAGGAAGCCAATGGAAAAGAAATGATCTTATATTATCATAATAATTTCATTTTTTTTAGTTTATGCTTTTTAGGAAATGCCAGAAGGTGATGGTGATCGCAGTAAAATGGGTTCTTTTGTTATTGGGTAGTGTGTTTGTTTATCATTTTTCTTCCTCTATTAATTTTGCTAGACTTTTTGTAACTTTGCTTTTCTCAATTAATTTTATTGTGATCTTAGTTCCATGCTTGTTCCATGATTGCTTCCCTTATGAGGAACTCAAGAATACTATGTTACTTTATAATTTATTTAAATAAGGGACGCGCTTGGATTAGTCAAGCTTCAAAGAGTCAATCTTCTGTGTGGACAGATGCTGATAAACATCCAGGTTTCCCCTCTTGCTCTTCTCTCTGTGTCTCACAGGGTTGCCATCAACTTCTTTTTATCAATTGATCTATTTTGTGGTTCTTTTAGGTTATAATGAAAGTGATTCAGACTCTGATGAACTGATTGATTAGAAGATATACATGGATCATATATTGCTGTCTGAGACTCTGAATTCATTTTCATGTGAGTTGAATTCTATATATTTCTCTTCTTATTTTCAATATCGATCAAATTACCTGTCGAATATGGTATCTTTAGTCTCGTCCTCCTCTGGTTGCCATTAGTTTATAAGGTTTCAGGTTGCATTTCCAAATTATTTCATGTTGGTATAGATTGTGTATATTAGTCTATTTCTTGCATAACCTTGTCTACAAGGGCCAAGCTTAAGAGAGTTGATTCTGAGGGTGTCTAGGTAGCAAAATTCTTGCATTCGTTTTTGTGTCTTTATGATGTTATTGTGACCTTTTTCATCAGTTAAAGTAGGCAAAGAGTTTCAAGGATTTCCTGTTTCTTGCTTAAGTAACTACCCTCAGAAGACTAGGCTTTTGTGTATTTGTCTTCTCTGTTTTTGTAAAAATAAAAATCTGCTGCTGGATCATGTGAAGATGATTGAGACTATTAAGCCCCTCCTCGCTAGAAAGCTGGGGCTGCATGTTCCCCCCGTATTGACTGTCGGGCATTCACCCCCTGAGGCTTACGATAAACAGCAAGGAATATGGTTGCAAAACTTAATATACTGCATATTAAAGTGATTCATTATGGAGCAATGAATAGACACTGGCTGTGCTGGGGACTTGAATAATGTGTTAAGATAATTGGAAGGATTAACTGGGAATATCTCTGGGGGCTGGTTATGTGGTACTCTCATTTTTTTTCCCTTCGATATGATGAATTATTCTTATGAATAGCATGTTTTGTGATGCTTTTAATTGAACATAGAACATTGTTCTGCACTGATCTGTTCCTCTTTTCTTCTACAGACCATTTTTGGACCATGCACCAAATACTAAATTTCCATACCGATTGAGAGATAAGTTTTCATTCCTTCTCTCTTCATTAATTTTTCCTCATAGTTTTTTCCCTTCTGTTGTTGAATGGAGCGTATTTCAAAGTTCATAACTTGTAATTTCTTTTCCTTTTCAAGATACATTATTCTGTTCTAGATTCCAAGAAATTTCTTCCTCAGTTTCCTGTCTTAATTCTCGATAATTTGGAGTATCTAGAATTGAAATTAGAGGACAGGTTTATGTCTGACTACAGACGCTACCAAGTATCACATCTTATCCATACATTACTACGTTAAGATGTTTGTAAATGCATAGTTTACAACACTGTTTTTTTGTTTTTTAACTAATGACATCACTTTCCTTTCCCATCATCTATTCTGCTATTGTTTAATCTCCCACTGGGATAATATTATCAGCCTTCATGCAGCGGTGGAAACCACCGAGGTCTGTGGTTGGCAGGTTGGGCACGAAAGCAATCCACGAATGGAAATTTTTTTATGAAGTTTGGAGTCTGATGTTGGGTTCCTCGTATAGATATACAGGGGTAAAAACAAAAATTCAAACTGCCCATTAGCATCACAGTGAGACTTGGTTCCGCCCCTGCCTTTTTCTCCTCCTCCATTCCCATGGCTCCTCAGGGTTTGGGAAAGCCCACAAGCCGACTCGATTTCGTTGAGCCTCCTTTTGCCACTACCATCACATACAAGTATAAAGATAAAGAATTGACATAACAAACTTCATGAATGATTAATGATGGCCTGATACTTACTCTAGCGAGTTCCAATCGTTGATCATGAAATTTGTAATGCCAAGCACACCCTCTCTTAAGCAGAACTTCCTGTTAGATGTAGAAGAGATAACACAAAACTACGTGGCTATATGAGACTACTTATCACAGCTACAATGATGAATACATATACAATAATGCGCACCTGCACAAATATGCCATCACAGTATACATCAGCAACGGTGCGCCCATATATATCTTCATCATATACCAGCACTCTCAAACATTTGCCCTGAACAAGCTTAACCAGCTCTTCTTTTGCCTCATTCCCATATGGCATCAGCAACTCCGGTGCTCTATACCTCTACTCAATTTGTCTAACCATCAACCATTGCACCAAAATAATAAAGATTGAAATCCCGTTAAGCACATGTACTCATTTTACCTTAGACGAATGTGATCCTGTCGAGCGAGGATCTCCTCATTTTGATGATCGACGACTCTGATATCAAGAACATTAAAAAACTATCAATTGGAAACTG